CGCCAGACAGACAGAGAGAGACATAGAGACAGAAAGCGAGAAATCACCCCCCAGGGGGGATGGTCATGCTGCAATCCCTTCTCCTCCATTCTCCTCTCAGGATCTTGGGCACGCATGCACACGCGCCCGGCGTGAGTTTTAGGCCACCGGGTCCGGGACGCGAACCGCGGTCGACTACATGGGAGTCCAGCGACATAGCCATTACGCTAACTGCTGGTTCCCCAGGGACTGCTTTTTGAGAAGAGGGATGAGCTAAGAACTGGAGAAAATATATATCATAAATAAAACATTTTATTTGTATATATTATACAGACAGATATACATTTCTATCTATAAGCATATTGATACTAAACATATATTTATGTCTATAAATAAATATACATATATACTAGTCTATATATTTATAGATGTCGTTAGTGAGGAATGAGAACCAAGAGCAGATTTATCCTTGAGGAAGAAATGAATGTCTCTTGGATCTTAACCCTCATTGGCATTTGACCTCCTTAAATATAATTATTACTCTAGAGATGTCATGTCCACTAAGTCTTGTTTTAGGGGCAAGGATGAAATATTGGGAAAGGCATTGGATGAGGCTTAGAGATGGTCTACCAGTCTCTCTCTTCTAACTGGTAGGACTGAAGACTCCCTTTTTTGCTTTTGAGGTGGCTCATAGCTCCTCTCTTTGGCAGGTGAATGGAGTGAACCTAAGAAATGCAACTCATGAGCAGGCTGCTGCTGCTCTGAAACGGGCTGGCCAGTCAGTCACCATTGTGGCCCAATACAGACCTGAAGGTAGGAGAAGGGAAGGTGGGAAGAGATGATGTGGGGGAGTTTAGACTCGTACTTGGTGTTGGCTTTTTGCCATGTTAGGTAACATGGCAAAAGGTAAAAGCCACTTGACCAGGTCCCTTTCCTTCTGGACAGAGGGTTGATTTGGGCGCCTTGGGAGCATCAATCAAGGCTGCGACCTGAGCCTGATTATCAGGGCTGCAAGTGCAACAGCCAGCCAGTAGTGGGCAGCAGCTTACGGGAAGAAGCACAGAGATTAGGGCAACTGGAAAAAGGGGAGAGGAGGCGGAGGGCTCAGGCGAAGACACAGGGATCTGAGTGCCCTGGAACAGGAGAGTAGCTCTTGGTTAGGTTATCAGGGAGAATAGATCGTATCTTTTTAAGAGATCCTGAGCCAAACCTCTATGACCCCCACTGCCCTCCCGTCATCAAGATGACGGTGAAAGATCCATAAGTGTGCTGAAAAGGTGGTACTATGCCCTTGGGGTAGGGGACCGGGAGTCAAGCCCCTCCTCCCTGTGGGGGGCTTTCTTTGTATTCTCTGAGAGCAGTCCCCCTCAGCCAGCGTGAGTGGGCGGAGCGGCTTATGCAAATACAGGCGTTTGATTGGCTGTGGCCAGCCGGGGCCCAGGTGCCGAGGTGAGCTTGCGGGCTGGCGCGCCCTCGCCCGCCGGCCGGCCGGGTGGCTATTGGCCG